ATTTAAGTTGTTTATATGATATATAAGATACTATATATAATATTTTATATATATATAAGATGGTATATAATCTTATATATATAATATAATCTTTTAGGTTTCCAGAGAAGGCCTTACTTTTTCCCTCTTTATTTGATGTTGATATTGATTTGGGGTTGATTTTGAATTGGAGTCTTCATTTCCTGTTCTTTGGTATGTTCGAGGTATTCAGGAGAGACTGTGAGTGTTTTGAAAATTTGGTTTACATAGCTCATTGAAATGAAGGGTTACATTGTTCATTCCTTATAAGAGGGAGCAATTTAGTGTCACTCGGTATATTAGGCCCTTCCTCAGTAACACTTAAGGATTTGGTACTTTAGGGCATAAAAAGAAATAGCATAAAAGGGTTCCTCCCCTTCAAAGCAGTTTATTGGTTTTTTTTGTTTCCTTTTTGCTGATAATTTTATATGGAACAGAAACATACTGACAGTAATGGTCTGGATTTGTATTGCTTAAAGAATTATGTTAAAACATCCCCATCTCGGTCCTCTGAATGTGTCTTTACTTTCCTCTTCTCAGAGAATATCATTGAGGGCTGGTGGCGAAGCTCAGTAATAAAGTACTTGTCTAGCAGGTGTGAGGCCCTGGGTTCAATCCTTAGCAAGCAGGAGAAAAAAGTATCACTTAATGAGAAATGTCCTTTTTTTTTTTCACAGACTGTATTTCTCAATGCAAACTTATGGAGAGACTGATAGAGAAAAGTTGCTGTTAATGTATCAGACAAATGAGCAAATAATAAATGGCCTTTTTCCTCTGAACAAGGACCTGGCATTAGAAATGGCAGCTCTCTTAGCTCAGGTAACTCCCGTGTTGTGTAATATATGGAAACGATGAGTAATATGTGAAATGATAAGATATTGATTTCATCACTGAATTTAATGCAATAAAGCAGTAGACCTTCAGTAATTCTTTAAATTGATTTTTTGCTATGATTATTACCTTAAAAATTGCAGGGATTCTATCCATTTGGACTCTGAACCACTGACAGTGGCAATGACATAAAATGAGGCATAAAGGGGAGCCTTGTTTCATACCTTGAAAGCACAGCTCCAGACTTTGCATTTCATAAAGGAATCTGAATGTTTAGCTATGGGGCTGAGAATGCTGTGCTAAAACTGTTTAGTAACCTAACAAGAATGAGTCCTTGAAAAAGCAAGAGCACTTTCTCTCATTTACCTGATGTATCCACGAGGGTTAAATTCAGACTTCAGTAAAGGCAATACAGGCATTTAATCAGCCAGAAGTACGCTCGTCTCTCATTGAGGTGGAAGGGTCTTCCTGGCTACACAGGCTTTATCCTGCTGTCCATTCTGCTGTCCCTGCGGTGTCTACCTCCTGTTTCTGGAGGTCTTCCAGAGCTCCAGCTGTTACGTCAGTATTCCAGGCCTGGAGACAGCGGAAGGGCCGAAGGGCATGCCTTCCTGCCTTTGGGAGTACTTCTTTGAAGTTACCTAAAACACTTCCGCTGGGGCCTCTCTGGTCTGGATAGGTTTTAGGCACCTACAAGGGAGGCCAGGGGATGTGGTTTAAGCTGGGCGGCTGTGTGCCCAGCTTTATTTAAGGTCTTTATTGCTGAAGAAGAAGAGAGTGGTCACAAGTGGCAGCTCACAGTCTCTAGCACACCTGAGTCTTTGCATAGGACAATTAAGGAAAAACTGTTAAACGTTCTGATACTCCATCCAGACAAAGGCTTAGGTCCCCCAGCGTCTTCTGTACCTGGCTCTTCACACTTACACCATCCCAGGACATCACACTCATTTTCTTTATTTTATCCACTACCTATGCCAATGATTCTTAAGTCTCTTCTCGCCAGTTCATACTTTCTTTTTATTTTTCAGCTTTAATTGAGTTTATTGGTACATTTTAGGGATACAGTACAGTTACATTCATTGTTGGGATCTTATACCTCTACATGACAAGTCTTGATTCTCATTTTTCCCCTTACCCCTACCCTCCCTTCACCCCCTCCTCCCCTCCCCATCTACAAACACTTTATTTTCATCCCTTACCC